TAAGAGGGTGTTGTACTAGTACTAGAATTTTAGAATACTGTGCATAAATTACTTAACTGATTTAACAATGGATTCAATGATCTTGTGTCAATTACCAAGTTAAGTGTGACAAACACTGAAACCAAATATTTTTTTTAAATTTCCGCATTGAAGGAATTCAATGCACAAAATTTAAAAATTGTACAACTGATAAATACAGCTAATTAAAAAATATTGTTACTTAGAGTTACCTTCTGGCCAATAGTAACATTTATTTTACTTTTTCATATATTTGGCACCTAACTCAAAACCCAGGTATATTTAGCCTGCACTGCATTATGTAGATCATGACACCTACTGGCAGCATAGGGTTTTGCACCCTAGTTCCATAAGACACTGAATCCCCTGGTTCACCCAAGGTAATTTCAAATTTAACAAAAGTTTAATTCTTGCACATAGTGCATGTCTATTGCAGATTTTTAGTGATGAAAAGTCCAAAGTGAAGATTCAATTTCACATCCAACCCCATCATTAAATACTAGACTAATGTCCCAAGGGTATTCACTAATTGATTTGGAATATATTTTTCTATCCATTGATCGGGGTCTTTCTGTATTTGCATCAGCTCCATGCTACTTAAATTGTTAAAGCTTTATAATACTTTATATCAGAATATTTATCTCTTCTTATTTTTTTAAATCTGTTATTCTCACCTGATATTTCTTCCAGAAAAGTTTAGCATTATTTTGTTAAATTACTCCAAATCACATTTAATTTTTATTTGAGTAGCGTTAACTAGCAATTAATTTGGTAATAAATAATATCTGTAAAATATTGTTTTCTCTTGAAAGTCCATTACATCTCTTGAAAATATTTATAATGTTCTTCATATGTTAAATGGTGTTTATTATAATAAATATTTGAGATTTAATATTTTTGTTGCAACAATGAGATTCTTTATGTAATTTTATTTCCACATTTGCTGTTACCTGCATATGAACATGCTATTGTTTTTGAATTTTCTCTTGTAATAAATAAAAAAATAATAATTGTATACTTTTTCCATGAGATGTCATTTTGGATTTTGTTTAGATGAATCACTGTTCTTTGTGTCTTGTATTTAAATCTCTTAGTTCTGTGTCATGTCTTTTAGCATTGACTAAAGCCTTCTAATAAGGATGTTAGATATCATTTTCCCCCCACATTTAATTCCAGTCTCCTTTGGCTTTAAACATTAGAAAAGTATGATAATGACTATTTTTAAGTCATGTTTACGGCTTATTATTTGCTAATGGTTTTTTCAATAGTTGTTACTGTTGAATTATTTCAGTGCCTTATTCAAAATTATGATTATGATTTTCTTAATTGACCTAATAATTGAATATAGTAATAAATTACATAATATTGACTCTTTTTGTATTTCTGAAATAAATCCTACTTGATTTTTTAGGTAGTGTCAAGTTCTAGTTCTAAGATTTATTTATTACTTTAAAATTTGATATTCCCTTGGAGATATGTTGACTTTTTCTTCTATTGATATTCTCATCAGCATTTGATATTTTATTTTTAAAAGTACTGTTATATTGTATTTATCAGTTATAATTTTATTTGATATTAGCTAATAATGTTGTTAGACATTTGTTTTTATTCTAGTTGTTAAATATTTGGAAATATTTCTTAATTTTTTAAATTTTCTATTAATTTTGTTACCTAATTCCTTCTTTATATTATTTTAGTTTTTTTAGTTTAATTTTTTAAAATAATTTTTTATGTCCAATTACAGTTGGCATACAATGTTATATTAGTTTCAGGGGTAGAACATGGTGATTATACATTTATATATCTTAGGAAGTGATCTCTCTGATTAACCTAGTACCCATTTGATACCATACATAGGTATTACAATATTATTGACTGTATTCCATATGCTATACTTTACATCCCCATGACTATTTTGTAAATACTAATTTGCACTTCTTATTCCCTTCCCCTTTTCCCACTCCTCCCCCATCATCCTCCCATCTGGCAACCATCAAAATGTTCTCTGTACCTATGAGTTTGTTTCTGTTTTGTTTGTTTATTATGTTCTTTAGATTCCACATGTAAGTGAAATCATATGACATTTGTCTTTCTTTGTCTGATTTACTCTACTCAGCATAATATCTTCTAGGTCCATTCTTGTTATTGCAGATGGCAAGATTTCATTCTTTTTAATGATTGAATAATATTCTATTGTATATATGTACCACCTCTTCTTTATCCATTCATCTATTGATGGACACTCAGGTTGCCACCATATCTTGGCCATTGTCAATAATGCTGCAATGAACATATGGATTCACATGTCCTTTCAAAGTAGTTTTTTGGGTTTCATCAAATAAATACCCAGAAGTGTCTCTTGTTATAGCCATTGTTTTAAAGTCTATTTTGTCTGATATAAGCATTGCTATCCTGGCTTTTTGTTTGTTTGTTTCCATTTTCATGAAATATCTTTTCTACCTTTTACTTTCAGCCTTTGTATGTGTCTTTTGATCTGAAGTGACTCTCTTGAAGGCAGCATGTGTAAGAGTTTTGTTCTATCATGCTTCAGCCACCTTATGTTTTGATTGGAGCATTTAATCCATTTACATTTAAAGTAATTGTTCATAAATAGTAGTTATTGCCATTTTATTATTCATATTGTTTATCCTTTTTTTTTTTTCTTCTTAAATCTCTCCATTTCCTGTAATACTGGCTTGATGGTGATGAACTCCTTTAGCTTTTTCTTGTCTGAGAAGCTCTTTATCTGTCCTTCAATTCTAAATGATAGCTTTTCTGGGTAGAGTCATCTTGGTTGTAGGTCCTTGCTTTTCATCACTTTGAATATGTTTTGTGCCAATCTTTTCTGGTCTGAAAAGTTTCTGTTGAGGATTCAGTCTTTTCAGCTGGCAGTCTTATGGGAGCTCCCTTGTAGGTAACTAATTGCTTTTCTTTTGCTGCTTTTAAGAATTTCTCTTTGTCTTTTATGATGTGTCTTGGTGTGGGCTTCTTTTGGTTCATCTTCTTTGGGACTCCGCACTTCCTCAGCTTGTATGTCTATTTCCTTCACCAGATTAGGGAAGTTACCCAGCATTACGTTTTCAGATAGATTTTCTATTCCTTGTTATATTTCTTCTCCTTCTTGGACCCCTATGATGCGAATATTGGTATGCTTGATGTTATCCTAGAGGTCCCTTAAACTATTGTCATTATTTTGGATTCTTTTTTCTTGTTGCTGTTCTGATTGGATGTTTTTTGCTGCTGTATCTTCTAAATCACTGATTTGATCCTCCGATTCACAAAATCTACATAATACATTTCCTATAATGTATTCTTCACTTCAGTCATTATATTCTTCATTCCTTACTGGTTCTTTTTATGTTTTCTATCTCTTTGTTAAAGTTCTCACTGAGATCATCTACTCTTTTCCCAAGTTCATTGAACATTCTTATCACCAGTGTTTCAAACTCTGCATCTGATAGATTGCTTGTCTCTATTTCTTTTAGTTCTTTTTCTGGAGCTTTGTCCTTTTCTTTCATTTGGGACATTTTTGTTTGTCTCCCAATTTTGGCTGCTTCCCTGTGTTTATTCTATGTATCAGGTAGGGCTGCCGTGTGACCCTCAGGCTGATTGGTTGTGAGAACTGGCCAGTGAGGGGCTGGCCTTATGGAGCAGGATTGGCTTTAGCAGGGCTCTAGTGCCTGTGCAATCTTCCCTTTGAGTGTGTTGTATGCAGCCCCAGTGTGAAGCTGGCCACCAGGAGTGTCTGGTGGGAGGGGGCCTCCTGGGAGGGGCCTTGTCGCAGGCCAAGTTCAGACACAGCCTGTACTCTGCTCAAGGCCACCTGGCAAGAGTTACCAAGCAATCTACAGGTGGCCGCCACTCACTCTGGTCTTGGAGGTGCCTCAAGAAGCCAAACCATGAACTGAGGCCAACTGCCACCAGTGCTGGATTTGAAGCTGTTCACAAGAGGTACAGAGTATGCTGAGGCCAGATGTTCCTTGTTTGGGTTTTGCAAACCTGAGAGATTTTAGGAAAGTCTGCAGCATAAGCCAAGATGGGCCATTTACACTGAAAAGCCACTGGAAGTCACTTGGGTGGGCCTGCAAGTTGCATGGGGAAGGGTCTCACAGAATCACCAGGGCAGGGCAACCAATGTTTACTAGGTTGATGGTAGCTGCCTGCATCTGCACCCCAGGAGAGGGGAGGTCTCAACAAAAAAGGAAGGGATTCTACCAGCACTTCTGTC